AAATAACTGATTTGTAAATAGTAATTAATTCATCCAATAACGTGATTATTTACTAGCTTATTTTTAACCAGATTAATCTAGATTAGTTTCAATAATGGTATAAAAGCTTATTGTAATTCAATGTCATTTAACTAATATAGTATAAACTATTGTTATAAATTACTTGTGTTAGTTTTAACTCAATTTAATAGCAATTTATTATAAATTATAATCAAATATTAATATTTAATATCATGTGTTTTGTAAAATATTGTCAAATCATTTGCCGTAATTAAAAATAATTGCAAATCATTAAAAAAAATTAATAAAATTTACTTTTCTTTATCCGACAGTGAACTCAAAACCCATAAAATATAAATTACAACTGAATTAACGTTTACTAAAATATAACAACAAATTAACTTTCACTAAAATCGCAAATAAATGCCTTTAATTAATAGTATTATTAATAATTAATATACAATAAATTGATTTATAAATTAAAAATACAATTTACTATTATTAATAATATAATGAATGTAAAACATAAGCTAACAGAATGCTAATGAGAAACATAACAAATAACAAAATTGGTTTAAAATAAATTACAATTAACTAAACAATTTACAATAACAATAGGCTTTAAAATTATGGTAAATTTGAGATTGATTGGTGAAAAATTGTTTGGTTGTCAATAATAGGAATAATTATCTAAAGTTGAATCATTTATATAATGAAAATTTCTAATCATTTCTTTCAAAACTAAACAAACGGAAAACAAAAGTAGTTGTTATATATTCTGTATGAAAATTCTGGCAATTCTTTACAAATTATTTCATTAAATATATTTATTTTATACACAATTTGTTATAACAAATAAGTTTTGTATTAGTTTTTATACAACAAATTCTGGTCTATTTTTGTGTTCAATAATAATAAGTCTAATAAATAGCCACATAATTGTGTTTGCAATTTGTTTTCACATAAAATTATAATACAAATTAGTTTTGCGATTGATTTTTGTTGTATTAATTAATTGCTTTGATTTTTCACGCATTCATTCAAAACACATTGTTTTGTTATAAATTATGAGATGTTCATTGAAATCATAAAATTACAGCAAATTTTACGTGATTTTCATAGAAAATAAATTCAATCATAAAATATAGTTAATATAATGTGTGGAAAACACATCAAAACACAACATATTTTACATTAACTAAACTGAAAATCAAAACTAAATTTTATTTTGCTATCAAAAAACTGCAGACAATTTGTCTGACAATAACTGACAGCAAATAAAATAAAACCAAAAATTTTCATTAAAAACATAGGATTTACACGAGTTTTAAGACAATATAACATTAATCGTAATTTTTATTTAATTCTCCATTAATTAATTTACTCTTTATATTATCGTAAAATCTTTATGTATTTGTATTTTAATAAATATTTACAAAGAAATACATTTATATAATTAGGCGTTTCGTGTCATCCAATAAAAGCATAACAATTAAATTTGTTTGTAATTTAAGGTAATTTCCAGTGAATTAATCATTAATTTATATAATAATAATAATTAAAAGTTTCATATAAAGACATTTTCTGGTATTGGTTTGTTATAATCATCATTGAATTAGTACTAAAAGTTGTAACAATTAAAACAAATGGCGTCTAATTGAGATAGTGGTATCTAAAAATAGTATCCAGGTTGTTTTCCGGGTGACAAAACTAATCATAAGTAAAAAGCCTAAAATAAAACACAAATATATCGCTAATAATTATAATTAAATTCAATATAACTATAATATTCATACAGAGAATGAATGGCCGGAAACTCTCATTAAGTTTTTTGTTAGTTTTTGTGAAACCAAATAATGTTTATAACATATAATCTATACAATTGTTTATAGAAACTGATGATCTTGGTTGGTTTGTAATGTTTGTAGAGTGTATACATTATACAATTGAAATCTATTTATATAATTAAATGTAATCAAATAAATTTTTAACTCCGAAGTGAGTTATTTATTCGTAATTAAGGTTGTTTTGTATGGTTTTATATATTTATATTATATTCACATTTACAAACATTTGTTTTGTATTTACTCTCTATTTATATATAATATTAAACAATTGGTTTAATCATTAATTAATGAATTAATAAAATGTGAAAAATTGTTTCTTTTACTCGACTTTTAATCGTATTTAATAGTCTATGAATGAAATAACAATTTGTTTTTCATTATATAAATAGCTTTCCCATTGAAATACTAAATCAATTAATTTATTTAAAATCATAGATTTTTCACATTTTAATAATCTTTTGAATTGAAAATTGATTTTTTGATGGTTTTGGTGTTTTGGTCGACGGGTTTGTGTTATTCACACAATTATATTTACTTATATTTATAATTACATACATAATAATAAATTGTTTAATTATAACAATCATATGTGCCGTTAATTACGATACAAATTATAATAATAGCAAAATTCTAGTGCCATAGAAAAACATTTGCAAATTTGTCTCCAATTGGTTTTGTATTACATTTAAATTCACTTATATTTTACTATAAAATGTGCGACAATTTAATGTTTGGTTTGTATTTGCATTGATTTACATAACAATTGAATTAAAAACATTGATTTCATGTATTTTCGACGTGTTTTTAGGTTTGAATTCTGGTTAAATAAAAAATCTGGTTTTGAGACCAAAACACAATTCTGACAACATTTTTGTCTTTAGATATAGATTTTGTTATTAAATTTTTATAAAAATCTAAATATATTGAAATCAAACCATAATTTTTAATGTAAAATTGAACTGAAAATTATTCGCACTATTATTAGTAAAAAGTATTCAAGATTTTACTTAATTAAATAATTAAAACTACTTAAAAACTGCTAACATTTTCTCAAAATAACTCAAATTTTTATGAATTCCTTTGAATTAAAAACTAAATTATCATCAAATCTATCACTAAATCAACACAATTTCAACATTAAATTTACCTTAAAATAAAAAACTCAAGAAATAAGTGTTCAAAAAGTATTTTTGGTTTCATTTTACTCACGAAATAATTTTTATAATTATATTTAACATAAAAACTAATAATAATTGCAAATAATTTAAATTATAAAATACAAATCGGGAGAAAAGAGAGTAAAACACATCGAAAATAATGTTTTCAAAAAACAAATATAATTATAATTTCTCTTTACATACAATAATAATGGGATTTCCGTTTGTGTCGAGCAATTGATTTGTATTAAACAAACAATAAAACATAAATCGTTTATTAAAACTAATTATTAATTAAAATTTTTCTGTCAAAGACTTCATTATCATCTCATTTGCAAAATATATGACACACGAGAATACATGAAACAAAACAAAGTGTGATTTGTTTTTATTATTTTGACATTTTTTGACATTCAAATTGTTTTTCATTGTTTTCAAAACTATTTACACATTTAAAGGGCGAGAGTGTGTGTGAGTGTATGTGTGAGAGTGTATGCGGGTGTGAGAGAGAGACATAAGTTTTGGTCAACAGGTCTATCAAATTATGGTATAAAACATTCAAAATGTTTATATAGTTTTCATTAGTTTTTATCGAAATTATTTTAAAACACATTTCAATTATAAAATAAAAAACAAAAGCCAAACACAAAATTATATAATGAGTTCGTAAAACATATTGTGAACACTAAAAGCGAAATATAAGTATTTTTATCAATTATTTTCATTTCTAATAACAATTATATGAATGGTTATGATTGGGAACCGATCGATGAAATCGATGAATACGGGGAGAGGATAGGGAAGGGCTGATGGAGTACTGAATCTCTAAGAAACGATTTAAAAAACAAATTAAATACTTAATTAAAAAAAGAGATGAAAAATATTATCAATGCAATTGTGTTTTTCATTATATGATTACATGTATTAATAAACCGCACACTTCTTCGTAAGGGTCGGAGGCGGCGGTGGGAAGCGGTGGAACTGATTGACTGACTCGACGGGTAGTAAAAAGCATTTCATTATATTTTTGTTTCCAAACTAATGGTTTCCTTAAATCTAATCATTCATTTTCACCATTAAATTCAATGAAATATATAATAATAATCATATATTTTAATATATTTTTTGTGGTATAGTTTTTTGTCACATTTTTTGTTTGTTTTGTTTTCACTTTACAACTAAACAGTGAATTAATAAAAACTTTTTTAAATGTTTAAAATTTCTCTCATGTTTTTTTTACTGTTATATAAACTCTGTTTTATGTGTTTATTATAGTATTACTCTCTGGATATCATTATTATTATTAAAACACTAATTATATACTAATCATTGTTGTGATGAAGAGGCGGCCACCGCTTGGGCACCGGTACTCGTCTGGGCGTCGTTTGACTGTAACATATCGGACGAACCGACGGCACCGCCGGCCGATCCGACCGCCGCCGAGACTGCCTGCTGACCGGTCGGGTCACAGCCGACCACTCCGGGCACCGCAGCCGACATCGCGCACGACATGCCGGCGACCGATGACTGCGGGCCGCCGGCCGATGAGGTCGACGCTGAGGCTACGGGACCCACACCGACACCACCGCTGGCCCCACCGGCGGCCACAACGCCCCTCAGGTGCGGCGGTATGAGTACGGACTCGAGTGAGGGCTGTATTTTGAGTTCGTGTTCCGTGAAGTTGAACAGTAGGGGCAGGTCTTTGTTGTTCGGCAGTCGAGTGCCCGGCTCTCGCAGCTCGTTGAAGAAGGGGTGGGCGCAGGCCTGCAGTGGCGTTATCCGCGACGACGGCGTGTACTCTAACAGACGCGACACCAACTCTATGGCCTCCGGCGGCGTTCGTGTCCTAAACACCTGTGAAATTGTTTTAATAAAACACATATTAATTAACTGTAATTTTGTACAATTTAATTATTTATACATTTTTTGTAATGTGAGTTGTAATAATTGAAAGGTTGTATTACGTGTTTAATAAATAATAATCGAGTAATAAATCATTAAAATTTCAATCGATAGCTAATAAAACACTATATTCTCTGTAATAAATTCCTATTTTTAAACAATCTTTGCCTAAACTTCATTTACATTAAGAAAAAATCCCAAAATATATTGACGTATACTTTAGGGGAAAAAGTATTGAAAATTTGAATTGAAAATTTGAATTGAAAATTAAATAAATATACTGTATATTCAATAAATTTATACAAATATATCTAAAAAAGTAGAGATAAAAGCCTATTTGAAAATCAATGAAATGCCATAAAACTAGACATAAATATATAGCGAGAAAACAAGAAAATAAAACTAAAACTTAATTAATTCAATGACTTATAAAAATCATAAAATAAAACCATTTATGCGATAAACAAAACACACGATAACAACAGCCGCTATAAAAGTCGTTAATATTATAATTCAAGACAATTTGCTATTAAAACAAATGCTAATTAATCAGTCAATTGACTGATACTCTGTTCAAAGAGTGAGAGGACTGAACGCCAAGAGTTGGCGATAAGGAGAGGATAGCGATAATGGTATGCATCGTATGAGTGATGTAGTGAATGTGATGTGTGTCTTATGTGGCATACCTTCTGCCAGGGATGGGCTTTAATCTGCGGAAACTTGAATTCAGTGTAATTGCGGTTCATTTCCCGGATCTGTTCCTTCGTCGGCGTTCCCAATACTTTGATTATCTCAACCAATTGGTCGACACCGGAGTCGCCCGGGAATATCGGCTGACCCATCAACAGCTCAGCCAACACACAGCCCGCCGACCAGACGTCTGGTGAATGCAATCAAAAAATTAATTAAATAAATCGTTTTTAGCAATATTTCATTAATTAATTCAAATGATAAACATTTAAATGCATATTAATTTCAAATGAATATTAAATTCAATTTCAAGGCTATTATAACGGATGCTTTTTCTATCACATAAACCATCGGTTAATAACATATATTTATTATCAGTTTTATAAATCTCGGGACAAAGTCTAAGAGCGGTATTATTGCAGAGAGAGAGAGACATAAGTTTTGGTCAACAGGTCTATCAAATT